CTTTCCCTCCCCACCTTCACCCACCCCTTCACGTTACTGAAGAATCCTAAGCCCCACCCCAGACACCATCCACAGCACCCCTGAACACTCAGTGTGCACCTCCTCCCTGAAAATGCATGGCCCATGGGACCAGCAGATGGCGTAAGGGTTATGTCATTGGACTCTCACGTAGTTGACTACAGTTCAAGTCCCAGACCCAGCAGCTTAAACTCATGCTGGGCGCATGTGCGTGCGTGCCCAAGATCCTAGGAGGAGAATGGAGGAGAAGGGATTGTGGTGTGGCCATCCTCCCGGGGGGTGATTTCTCACTTTCTGTCTCTCTGTCTCTCTCTGTCTTTCTGGTGAGTGCACACGCCCTATAGCAAAAACCTCTCCAAAGAAAAAAAAAGATAGAACAGAAAACGCGTGTTCCTTGTCTGCAGTACCACAAGGCCATGATCACAACAAAGACAAGGATCGAAATGCCATTGACAAGGGGATAGCAGGTGGCATGGCGGTTAAGAGCACTGGACTCCCACATGGCCAATCATCGTTCGAGTCCTGGGCGTGGCAGCTTGCCTTCTCACTTCCTCTGTCCCTCTCGGGTCAAATTTAAATAAATAAAATTAAATAGAATAATTCTTTTTTTTTAAAAGAGGTTTTTACTAAACAATAGAAGAAATACCATTGACAAAACAAAATGTCTACAAGGAATAAGATGCTCCTTCCTACAAGTGAATAACACAGAAGCACAGAGAAAACATGGCTGTTTCCCCCTCCTGCCCCAAACCTGACTCCTACAGTGCGCCCAGTGCTGGCGGCGTGGCCTGTGCTTTCCTGACGTTTTCTTGTGGACACTTACAGGGGTGTCCTTGTGCACGCTCTGCTTTCCAGTCAGTGTCTGACATGGGGTGATGCCCTCTGCATCGTCTGCTGTATTTACTTAGTGCTCTGCCATTCTTTTTCACAGCTGCGTAATGTTCCAGAGCAGAGAGGTGTTGTAACTCTTCTGGGTCTCTGAACATACGGTTGTCTGTGGTATTTTGATTTTACACGTTCAGTTTCCTTGAGGATGAGGACCTTGCTCACAGACCTGCCCAAATCCAGAACCGAGCTTCCTAAGTATACGCCACGTGCTCAGTAAAAACTCACTGAATGGATGAGCTGCCCATGAGCACCAGTGTTGTTTGTGTAAGCTGGTACATGCATTTTGCAGGAAAGATACCTGGAAGTTGCAGAGTTGGGGGTACACATTACTTTGTTGGATGCCATAAAACTGCCCTCCAAAAAGACCAGAATGCCCGTCTTAGAAAGGAGTGTCCCCTCTCCCCAGACTTGGCCACAGAGGCTGTTCTGCGTCCTTCTCTCCTTTGCTAGTGGGAGGCCGAAGGCGGGGTGTCGTCAGACCTAGACGTGTTGGTGAGCTGCAGAGCTCTTCCTGCCTCTTCTTGTGCCCCTCGTGCTCCCTGCACCCCTCAGGAGTCACGGCCAACTCTCCCTCCCCTCCCAGGTCCTGAGGACTCATGTGAGGCCTACAGGCACGTGCTGGGCCAGGACAAGGTGTCATATGAGGTTCCCCGCTTCCATGGGGACGAGGAGCGCTTCTTCGTGGAAGGCCTCTCCTTCCCCGACGCAGGCTTCACCGGGCTCGTCTCCTTCCATGTCACCCTGCTGGACGGCTCCAATGAGGTAGGGGTGACCAGGGCGGAGGGGGTGGAAAACAGTGTCCCTTCTTGGTAGATACGGAAATAGCCGGCAAAAAGGGGCCAGACTTCTCGACCGCCCTTCCAGCTCATCTCCCCCGCAGAGAAGCGGCGGCTCTCCTAAGGGACCAGGAGCCTCGCTCAGGCTTCCGAGCTCAGGCCACTGCTCTCCGCCCCCACACCCACCCTCCTGCAGGATTTCTCCGAGTCCCCCATCTTCACCGACACCGTGGTGTTCCGCGTGGCACCCTGGATCATGACACCCAGCATCCTGCCACCCCTGGAGGTGTACGTGTGCCGGTGAGTCTTGGGGTGGTGGTGGCCCTGGCCACCAGGCCCTGGCTCTTGTCCTGAGCCGCCATCCCCGTCTTCTCTGCAGTGTGAGGAACAACCAGTGCTTTGTGGATGCAGTGGCCGAGCTGGCCGAGAAGGCAGGCTGCAAGCTGACCATCTGCCCGCAGGTGGAAAACCGCAACGACCGCTGGATCCAGGTAACCACGGGGCTCGGCAGGGCCCCGCCAGGACGCCACCCTGGGGGAGAGGCTGCCTGCCCACCGCGGAGCTGCTTGGAAGTACCCAGGAGGGCCTGGGTACTGTGATGGCCCTCCCGGGGCACTGCTCTGTCTAGTCTGGGGCCTAGAGCCCTCTCTCTGGAACTTTCCAGAGACCCAGGCAGGAGCAGATAGGGGAGTTGATGCCCTTCAACCACCGGGTTGTTGCATGGCACTGGACTGGGCCTGCGGGTGACAGAGGAGGTGTGGGGCACACATCCCTGCCCTCAGCCAGGGGTTTTCAGCAAGAAGTGATTCTCATCACCAGGGGACTGTCACTGCATGTGAATTCATTTCGGTTGTCACACAGGGTGTGGGGGCTGCAGGTCTCAGGTTGGTGGAGCCTGGGGGTGCTGCTAAACCTCCAGACCAGCCCCCACACAAGGGACCCAGGCCGAGAAGTCCTGAGGCCAACATTGGGGTTGAAAACCCCCCCGCCTACCATCTAAGAGGTGGCAGGGGCAGCGGCCGGGCAGCAGCAGGGTGCAGGGGAGGGCGTCGTCTCTGCTTCCTCCTGGGGGACCAGCAAGGACTGGGGCAGAGCTGGCAGAGCTGGGCAAGGACTGGCCTGCCCCGTGCTGTGCTTACTGCGGGTCCCGGCAACACCGCGGCGTCTTCTGGGCGTCCCTGCCACCGCCCCATGGCTAAGGTGCTCTCAGGAGCAGATGCCCAGCTGAGGCACTGCAAGGGCACTGCTGGCAGTCAGGCTCCCACCTGCCTGGCACAGGCAAAGGCCCAGAGGGCCTGGCGTGTGCCCGGCGGCCGTGTGCTGGCTCTGCAAAGGACGAGTGTTGAGATGGGAGACTGCGACTGTGAGTGGGAGCTTTTGTTTGGGCTGGACGTCAGTCCAGTGAGGCGGTTCAGGGCAGGGCTTTGGGGAGAGCCGGAATGGGTTTGGGTCACAGCTGTGCTGTGGACTAGCTGTGTGCTGTTGGATAAATAACTAGACTTCTCTGTTCCTCTTGTTGCTCGTCTGTCATGGGGTAGCAATACTGCCTCTGCACAGTGTGTCATGAGGATAGAGGGAGTTAATACTTACAAAGAGCTTAGGGCAGGGCCGGCCACGTCGTGGCGAGCTTGTCATTGGCTAGGCGTTCACTGATGCTGGGCCATCTTTGCCTGCCAGACCAGAGGAGTCAGGACTGAGCTGGGCAGGCTGATGGGTATGAGGAGGAGGCAGGTGTTCATCCTCTCAGGTTCAGCTGCCAACCCCTCATAGCCACATGTGGAGGCCAGAGGGGCCAGCTCAGGCCACCCTGAGGCCTCTGTGTATCCACCCTGCCCCGGCCTAGCACAGGACACCCCAAGGTCCTGTCATGTTCTCACTCACTCTCAGTCTCTGTCTTGCTGTGTGACCCTGGGCTCTGATCCCCCAGTCCCTCCGGCAGCCAGCAGGCACAACCCTCACTGAGGGGCTCAGAGCTGAGCAAGCAGGGGAGGCTGCTGACCGTCCACAGATGGCGTCTCTGTTCACAGGACGAGATGGAGCTGGGCTATGTCCAGGCACCGCACAAGACCTTCCCCGTGGTCTTTGACTCGCCACGGAATGGGGAGCTGCAGGACTTCCCTTACAGAAGAATCCTGGTGAGTGGTCCCGACCAGCCCAGCCCTGAGCGCCACGGGGCCACTGCCCTCGGGTCTCAGGGTACAGAGTACAGAGAGCAGAGCAGGAACTTCATTCTGCAGGGGTGAGAGTAGGGTTGCCATGTGGCGACGAGTAACTTGGCATAAGTATGTCCAAATATTGCACGGGACATTCTTGCACTAAAAAAAGTTGATCTGAATCAACCTTAACTGTGTTTTTATCTCCTATATCTGGCGGCCCTAGAGGGGGAGGCGGGTAAGTGCAGCTAACCAGGACACAGGCCGTGGTCAGAACAAGCGGCTCTGTCACCCACACGCTCTGTGATGCGGGGTCTCTCTGAGACTCAGTGTCCTCACTAGTAACGACGACGATTCCGTTTCTCATCAGCAAAATTCGTGACGCCTCTGCTCTCTCAGTGTCTGAGGGGGGGACGCAGCGCCATTCACTGGTGTTATTGTTAATAATGAGAATAGTGACGGTGAAGGTGATTCCTGCCAACCAGGACCCTCTCGAGGAAAGACGGGGCCTTCCTTGTGCCGTAGAGAATGGGGGCCCCTCCACCCTTCGATCGGATCGCAGAGGTATTAGGAGCTCTTGCTCTGCCCTTGAGTTATCTAAGTTCCTTCCGAGAGATGGCCCCAGGGAGGTCTCCCCTTTTCCAGAGTTCAAAGACTGGGGTTCAGAGGGCCATCACCAGCACCTCTGTTCCCAGGGACAGGTCACTCCAGAGCAGCCCTTGGGCTGAACGTGGCAGGAGGTCGGTGCAGAGTAAGGGAGGCACGGCCTCTGGTCCATGTCTGATGGGGGCTGCACGAACAACCAGAGCCCTCCCTGCTGTTGCCCTGGGGCCATGGGAAGTCCAGAGTGTTCCCTGACTCTGGCCCCTGGGCACGTGTGAGATGTTGACTAGGTCAGATCCCCATCTCTGACTCTGTATTTCCATCTGAGGAATGGGCTGTTCCTCCTGCACCCCCTTTGCAGAGCTCAGAGCCCAGCGGATTCCTCCTGGTGCTCCACCCCCGACTGACTCCGCTTCCCCCTGCCAGGGTCCAGATTTTGGTTATGTGACTCGGGAACCACGAGACAGGTCTGTGAGCGGCCTGGACTCCTTCGGGAACCTGGAGGTCAGCCCCCCGGTGGTGGCCAACGGCAAAGAGTACCCCCTGGGGAGGATCCTCATTGGGGGCAACCTGCCTGGGTGAGAGAGGAGCAGGGACGGAGCTCCTGGGGTGGCGGCTGCAAGGGGGGTGCTGAAGGGGTCACAGGGAGGGCCTCACACCCCGCGTGGGGAATTACGAAGGAGCGATGAGTTGCTGCCCGGCTGGGGTGGGTGCTGGTGGTTCACCAGGCGCTTCCGCGCTTACCTAGGCATGTCTGGGAGGCCTGGAGCGGGTAGGGACCTCCAAGACCGTCCAGCCCAACGCTTCCATTTACAGTGGGCCCCGAGAGGGCAAGCAAGTCACACAGAAAGCAAATTTATGACTAGACTCAGGCCTTCAGATTGGGAAATACACAGGTGACGCCGAGCACACAGTCTACCAGTTCATGGTAACCGAAGAGAACGTGTCATTTCTCAACCGTCCTGGGGAAATGCAGTGTGGTCAGAGCCTGCTCGTGCTACGATGTAAGAGCG